TTCCTATAGCCCCTTTCTTTCCCGTTTGTTTGTTCTGTCTTGACAAATATTGACAGTTAACTGATGACATGGCTCACCTAAGGTCATCTGTCGGCATAGTTCCTTCCGCCTTTATCACTCGCGCGGACAACGCACTCCCTTGATTTAAGAGAGTACACCATACTCTTGTGACCATCACTTCCCACGTGCTCGCAGTCCTGTTTAAACATCGTAATCCTTGGCTTCTTTGTCGTCGTGTACATTCTTTATTCCCTTTGTCTCCGATCTAGATGCCCAACATGAAGCCTCTCCTGGAAGACGCAAAGCGGCGAGTCGACCGCAGGCTCAGTGCAAGCAGACAATCAATCTCTTCTAGCCGCATATTTTCCAGTGCCTTTCCGGAGCGGTTGAAAGACGACCATGACGCCCAGGTTGACTATACCGCACCGCCTCGTGGAGCCGGTTCTCGAGACGGTCAGCTGCCGTATATGCACCAGTCCATATTCTCGATGATTGCCGCCGTCGGCTCCAAATCTGATTTTCATGCACGGTTTGATGAATCGAGTGATAGCGAGGGGGAGGCGGAGGGACAAACCCAGAAGCAACCTGGAAAAGCTTCATTGGCGAATAAGAAGAATTCTCCGCCATTACCTACTCTCAAGCCTCAAAGTGCCTCGGAAGGAAGAGGGCGTCGCCATCGAAGGTCAATATCTGACAATAAACTCTTGCGATCCTTGAAGCCGAATCCCAAGAGTAGTAAAGGTACAGAAACAACTATACAAACTGAACCTCCGACGAGTGATGAATTGTCCCCGCTTCCTTCTCCTAGGCGCGCACGTAGTGCCACTCCTCGTGCGGCTCCTATACTCAGTCGTATGCTTGAAGCGGAGGCTCTCTTGGACAAAAAACATTCAGCCGAACAACCTTCTTCATCTACCAAGGCGGAAACCGATGGCACTTCTGAACAGTCATCTGCATCTCCGCTTTCGCTCCGACTGAAAGAGATGTTTGGGTTTGAAAAGCCAGAAAAAGTACTTGTGGAGTATGCTTGCTCCCTATTACAAAACATTCTTCTCCAGGGGTACATGTATGTTACGGAGGGGCACATATGCTTCTACGCATATCTGCCCAGAAGGTCTGCAGTTACTATAAGGTCGGGATATCTTCATAAACGAGGACGGAAGAACCCAAAGTACAACCGGTACTGGTTTTCACTGAAAGGGGACGTTCTGTCATATTATACGGATCCTTCCAGTCTCTATTTCCCCAGTGGTCATGTTGATCTCCGATATGGAATTTCTGCTTCTTTGACCGAGCAAAAGGACAAAGATAAGGAAGTACGAGACTTTCAAGTCACTACAGATCAGCGAACATATTATTTCAGAGCGGATAGTTCTGCCAGCGCAAAAGAATGGGTCAAAGCCCTGCAAAAGGTTATCTTCCGAGCTCACAATGAAGGTGACAGTGTCAAGATTTCCTTCCCCATTGCGAGCATAATAGATATTGAGGAGAGCCCCATTACCGACCTTGCTGAGACATTCAAAATCCGGGTGGTTGAAAGTGATGAATCTTATGCCATTGATGAGGTACGTCTTTCTCAAGCGAATGCCATGTTGTCACTAAACGTTGGGTCTAGTATTATTTTTCATTCTTCGAATCTGGCCGGGACGCATATAATTTTGTGAAAGGGCTGATCAGCGAGAGCCCGATGAAAACGTCCCAACTTTTACCACCTCCACCGGAGCAAACAAGCCTCGCAAGTCGCACTCGTGGGTCTCGTAACAGATGGTCGTTGAATAGTGATTTGAGTCAATCTCGAGGAAATGGAATTGTCAACACACAACGTCAACGGAGTGCAAGCACCGGCCATACTAACCCTGGTCCCGATGGAATCGGAATGTCTCCCCGACAGCGGGATTTGTCGGATTCCTTTGTTAACTCTTTCGAGCAAGCAACAGACGCTTCAGCGGTTCTGCAGTCGATGACCGATACAACAGAATCTGCTAGCCAGATCTTGAATCGAAGTGATGTTTTCCAATCCCCTACCATTAACACCTTGCAACAGCGGCGCTCCAGTGGGAATAGAACAGGCCGTCGGCTTTCAGACGGAACGGCACGATCAACGCATCCCAATGCTGCTGATGCTAGAGATGGGCAGGAACTGCAGTATGCTAGCAGTGAGTCCGACCAGGGCACACAGCACCCATCTAAGGTGAACTCATCTGCACCAACCTTGAATGAACTGGTCAAAGCTGGTACTTATCCCCTCCAGCGTGCCGCCGGATTTGCGGAGTATTTGAGAAACCGGTCGAGGCAAATGAGTAATCTTCTGGCAAGCGAATCAATGGGTTACATTGAGAAAGTCTCTGGGATGTGGGCCGGTGGCCGCAGGCATTATGGAGAAACTGAAGGCGTGCTACCAGATGATCAGGATGTTGATCCTGAAGACAAGGAAGATGGTGTTAAGCATGGTGATCGTTTTCGTGCCCATTTCGCCCTGCCGTCAACCGAAAGGCTGCAAGCCACCTATTATGCATATCTGCATCGTGTTCTTCCGCTTTACGGTAAAATATATATCAGCCAGAAAAAGCTTTGTTTCCGTAGTCTCATTCCGGGAACACGCACCAAGCTGATACTACCACTCAAAGACATTGAAAATGTGGAGAAAGAGAAGGGCTTTCGTTTCGGATACCAGGGGCTAGTCATAATCATTCGGGGACACGAAGAGTTGTTCTTCGAGTTTAATACGGCAGATGCTCGAGATGATTGTGCGGTCACTGTACACCAAAGCCTCGAGTCTATGAGGTTTTTGGTAGAGTCTGGCCTGCTAGCAGAACAGGAAAAAGACGAGATCGAATCAGCCCAAGCAGAGCATCGCATGCTACAGGAAGCCAGGTTAGATGGAGCTGGCGAGCACGACTCTCACAAATCTGTGAATGAATCATCGGAGCTTCATCCTATTTTTGATGACCCTCGTGCTTCGATTATCAACTTCAAGCCCTCCGAGTCATTGCGCATTACATGTCTTACCATCGGTTCGCGGGGTGACGTGCAGCCCTATATTGCCCTGTGTAAAGGACTGTTAGCAGAAGGCCATAAGCCTAAGATTGCAACCCACGCTGAGTTCGAACCATGGGTGAGGAAGCATGGTATTGACTTTGCTCCAGTTGATGGTGATCCTGCAGAGCTCATGAGAATATGCGTTGAGAATGGAATGTTTACATATTCATTCTTGAAAGAGGCGTCCACAAAGTTCCGAGGATGGATTGATGACCTTCTATCCTCAGCATGGGCCAGTTGTCAGGACAGTGATCTACTCATTGAATCTCCAAGTGCAATGGCTGGTATTCATATCGCCGAGGCACTCAGAATACCCTATTTTCGTGCCTTCACGATGCCATGGTCCAGAACAAGAGCATACCCGCATGCCTTCGCTGTCCCGGAGAATAAGATGGGCGGTGCCTACAACTACATCACTTATGTTATGTTCGACACTGTCTTCTGGAAAGCCATTGCGGGACAGGTGAATCGTTGGAGAAAGAAGCAGCTCGGACTAAAGGCGACCACTCTCGACAAGATGCAGCCGAACAAAGTTCCCTTCCTTTATAACTATTCTCCTTCTGTGGTGGCCCCTCCATTGGACTATCCGGACTGGATACGTATAACAGGATATTGGTTCCTAAGCGAGGGGAGCAATTGGACTCCTCCAACAGACCTGCTTGACTTCATTCACCGTGCCCGCAGTGATGGCAAGAAGATTGTCTATATTGGGTTCGGGTCTATTGTCGTGTCTGACCCTTCGGCTCTAACACGAACTGTGGTTGAATCCGTCCTAAAGGCTGACGTCCGTTGTATTCTGTCGAAGGGGTGGTCAGATCGACTTGGAGATCCTGCCAGTGCGAAAGTCGAGATTCCTTTACCGCCGGAAATTTTCCAAATTCAAGCAGCGCCACATGATTGGCTTTTTTCCCAGATCGACGCAGCAGCACACCATGGTGGCGCTGGAACTACCGGGGCGAGCCTTCGGGCAGGTGTTCCTACAATTGTTAAGCCGTTCTTTGGTGACCAGTTCTTCTTTGGCACTCGCGTCGAAGATTTGGGCGTGGGTATCTGTATGAAGAAGTTGAACGTAAGCGTGTTTTCGCGGGCTCTGTGGGAGGCTACTCATAGCGAGAGAATGATCGTAAAAGCCCGAGAGCTAGGTGCACAGATACGGAGCGTAAGTCTCTGAACTATCCTATGTCATGGTGCGTTAGCTAACATTCAACCAGGAAAACGGTGTGGATACGGCTATTCAGGCAATATATCGTGACCTTGAGTACGCTAAAACACTGGCTCGACAGCGCTCGATTGTCTCGTCAACTCCATTCTCCCCAACACCGTCGGCGAAAACCACGGCCGAGCAGGAAGAGGATGACATGGATGATAGTGAGGAGTGGACATTTGTCGGTGACGACACAGAAATTAATGTTTCGAGACGGCTGCGCGATCGAACAGTGTCTGATGCTGATATGCTACCCGAACCAGTTACAAGCACATCGTAGGCGGATTATCGACATATCTTGCGATGTTGCCATCACTACTTGTGAGAAATATTTTATCTGTTCATGACTTATGATTCTGCTTATTTTCTCGCCATGGGTGTTACTTTGGGTGCCCCGCTTGACTTCTGCTGAAATTCTCTCTATATTTATCCATTTCATTCTCGGTGTTTTCTCTTTCGCACAGACCGCATGGATTTAGATGGTTTATGAGAGTCCCACTTCAGTCGTTTCCTTTTCCCTCTTTGCGTTAACATTGTACGTGATGACTGATGATTGTTTGGGCGATGATATACGCATGAACCGCCCTCGGCCAGCCGCTTTCCTGGCTATGACGGCGGCCTCAACCTATATTAATACCTTTTTGTCCATTTTGAGATAGACCTAGTATAATGGCCCGGCGCAGGAAGCATAGTTTTCGTGCTTTATTATTTTATTGAGTTAATAATCGATCCCATAGGACTAATAGAGAGCAAGAATTTCTTATATCTACACCGATCAAGACAGCACTTTTGTTTCATCCCAACCCTCACTAGGATATACGCAAACCGAATAAATGAAAAAGAATCTTTTCTAAGCCGGACAAAGTCATTAAAAGACCGATTCATGAAAATGAGCTTTAAGCACCCGAAGGACCCTTTGCCGTATCATCGTCTTCGTCGCCCTTCCCCTCCGCCTTATCTTTCCGACGCTGCACGACATCCCAGTTATAGACACGAGCCGTGGCAACCTCCATCGTCTGCGATAGGTTAGCACCAAACCACACAAATATAGCCCTAAGGCGCCGAAGTAGCGCGCATATATAGAGTGAGAAAAAGAACGGAAATAGGGAATGAATACCGTAATCTGCTCCCTCAAAAACTCCAAATCCTCATCACAATTCGCCAGACTCAACTCCGCCGTGGACAACTTCTCCGTCAACATGGTCTCCGCCTCCTCAATGGGATAAGCCAACATGACATTCGCCCCGAGCCAAAGATACACCTCCTCTGTGTCCGCAGGGTCGACAGCCGCACGCGCATAGAGTGTATCGTTCAATTCGAAGTTCGTCTCCAGCGGGTCGGCGTTATTGTCGCGGCGCATTTTCAGAAATTTGACCATTTCCAGCGTCTTCTTGATATCCGGGATCTTTTCACGGAGGCCCGCCGCCCGTCGTTGTGTGTTTACTTCCATAAATTGGTATTTGGAGATCATCTCTTGGAAGGAGCGGAGCGTGGGCTCGACGTCTGCGCGCGTCGAGACGTAGTCGGTTACATTGTCGACGAAGGGAGCGACGGGGATACCGCGCGGGTTGGTCTCAGGGTTTATTGTTCTGATTTTTCAGCAGTTGGTTAATTGTCTAGGAAATTGATTTGCGGTGGTGGTTCTTGTTTTTTTTGGCTTGGGGTTGCATGTTTGGGGGTGGGATGGTGGAGGGGTTATGGTTTCGCCGTGGAGTTTTGATTTCTCGCAGATTTTTTGGACGTAGTGACTTACGGGGTCTTTTTGTCTGCCATTGTGGCATGTCAGACTGGGGTCAGTCTGAATGAGGAGAAAGAGGAGGAAAGAGGGGGGAAAATGAAGAGTAACACGTCGAGTGATAGTAGCGTTCGTTATCTTTGATGAAGCCGTAAACGCTGAAAGGTTCATGTGGGGGAGCATCTTGCCTATTTGGGAAAGGTGGCGGTACTGAACTGTATTCGCCGTAAGCTTCCTGGTTGCTTTTAGGGCTGAGCTTTAGTATATGTCGTATAACTCTGGATTTTGCTTTTATTGTTATATAACTACAGTCTTGGTTTATTCTTTTTGCTTTTCGAGTTTCTACTGTTAGTGTCCTTGTGTGGCACGTAGCGGAGTTTACTAAGGAATCACTTCGGAATGATATAGTACTACGTAAGTACGGAGTATACTCAGATGTTAGCCTAGTACCCATACAATAGAGTTGATCGCAAGCAGTAGCTACTTAGATATCGTATAAATTGAAAGATAAATTGGAAGCTAGATTAAGATACAAAGAGTTTACCAGTGATATTGCTCATTGTCCTTGCGCAAACCTTTCATTTCAAAAGAGACTGTCAACTCATCCCAGTGGTATGATAGCTAGACATAACATGCAACCTACAGGTCAATCTCATTTGATGGCCTTGCCACATTAGCTCTCCAATGGTGAGTATTGACAGGATCTTTTCGGTACAGATTAAGTTCGAAGAACTTGTTGTGCAGGGTGCACCTAAAGTTCTTGTAACTACTTCCGCTCAGCAATTGCCCTTCATAGATAGCACGATGTGAACGTACGAGTTCAACTTCTCAAAATTATTATCAATGAGCCACTGATCACTGACTTCAATGAATCCCACTTCACGGAGATCTCGGCGTGGAATGAAGTATCTTCTGCTCTCCAACGGGCCGTAGTTCACTTGCTTTACCAGTTGTACTGCATATTCGGGTTCGGGCGATGAAGTATCATAATCAGAAGGGACTTCGCTTGTAATGGTCAAGCGAGCCCATTCTAGAAATTCGTTGAATTTGCTCTCTTGATCCAGAATTCGTGGCCGATAAGGAGTAATGTGTGGACAGCAGAAGATGGGGGTAAGGTTTGAAGCCATTTTATAGAACACTGACAAATATAGATAGTATGCTTGAGAAAAGTCGCGGAAAGATATAGAGCGGAAATGAAGCAATTAACTCTTTATCTGGGGGAACACTGTAACTTATAGTACATTGTATGAGAAGTACCTCTATAAGAGAGGATGAGGACGGAAATGCTTTCCGCTACACTAAGTCAACCACACCCTATCGTTTTGAGGCCTCCCAGAGTCCTACAGTTGTTCGATGCATCCCTGACGTCCTTTTGCATATTTTTGCATGACAGTTGACCCAATGAGCAATATACAATCTGAGGCCTACTGTTGATCACCCACTACCTACTACTAGTAGTAGGGCTACAATACCTGCAATAGATGCATAAGTCCCGACCAATGAGACATCGCCGTTTTGAGGCCTACCATAGCCTAGCCAACCTGAGGCATCCACCAAGTCTGGTTAAATATGGCTGCTTTGCCCTCGATCTCCAAAGCTTCTTTTCTTTCTTTTTCCTCTCCAGGGCAGTGGTACTGCCACTCGTCCGCTCTTTACCTCTCGTTTCTGATTTTAAGTTCTTGCGAAATTGTTATATTGTGGTCTTTCTCCTCTCCCCGCCGTGCACATCTACGTGGAATCGTTTCCTTTTGTTCCACGTAGTTTGATCTATCCTGCAAGCTAGACTCTGTTTACTGCTTTGTTGGGGGAATCATCTGTCGAGAATACATAAACCTTAACCTTCTGTACCCGGAGTTTCCACTCTTATACCGAGTCCCAGATCAGATAGCGTAGGTCGGCCACCACAGGCACTAAACTCTTATCACACAACACCTTACGGAACTGTCGACCCTCGCTGGCTCGATACTGCTGACCGGACGGGTCCGGAGGCACTGCCAGAGTCAGATGATTCTCTCCATCACTTGAGCCAAGACAATCCCCCACAGGGTCTTGATCAAACTCAGGGCTGGGAAGGAGAGTCTGCAAATACACATAACAATTTCGATTCGCCGCACTTAACTTTCGAGCCACTTTCGCCCCAGGCACAACATATTGTATCTGAGTTTCCGTCGGATCTCTCAACTCCAGGACAAGATACTTCCTCTACCAACCAACCGATTGATTCTCCCCCACAGTCATTCCAGTGTGACCTGTGTAATCGTGTGTTTGACAAAAGATATCTACTCAAGTAAGTGGCATTCATTAGTTGCAGACAGATTTCTGAACCATGTTCTAATTCTGAACAGCAAACACAAGAAATCTATGCACGATCGCCTTCACAAGTGTGACATAGCAGGCTGTACCCGAACAGAGGGGTTTCAATTCAAGAAGGATCTTAAACGACACTACGAAACTGTCCACAGGGAAGGAAGTCCCAAGGGTTATTTCTGTAAGCATCACTGGTGCTCCGCTTCGAAGTCGCGAAGTGAACGCACGGGAAAGCCAGGAATGCGGTATGACAACTTTCGACGACATATGAAACATCACCATGGTTTTAGTGATCTAGGTCGAGAGACTAAATGACCATCTTAGAGAGCCGATATGTTAGAATGCCAAAGGGGATTCACCTTATTAAATTAAGCTCCAAATGATCAATTTGCTAGTATGAAAGTATTGTAGCTCAAAGAGTAGATGAATAATTGATTAGTAGAGCACTCTATAGATATAGTTACGACCTTAGCTCAACTACATGAATTACTTGTTAACTATTGACACTATGGTCCATTCGGGCTCGTATTTCAGTAACAACTCAAGATAACCCAATATAGTTCTCAGTCTGATGTTTATGCCCCTACATGTTAAGGGAGTTCTATTCACTGACTTCCTTTCTGCAGTAGTGGTATTGGCCCTTTCGGAAATACTCGGGTGATCAGCAAGGTTTGCTCCGAGCCTGCCCGAATTCATCTGACTTAATGGAAACAATCCACATCATCTACGCTATCCAGAATCAGCCAATCCACGATGCCCACCGTCAAGACTAAATGTAAAGTCGCTTGTAAATCGTGCAACTTGCGACGAGTCAAGTGTGATCGGACTGAGGAAAGCCCATGTTCGTACTGCCGACTAGCAGGGCAAGAATGCCAGCCCATTGTTTCGCGACGTGGAAAGTATGCTTGCCTGTCCCACTTCATCTTTACAGATGAAATACGGATGAGCAACAGGCTGAAATAATCTAGGTACAAACGAAATCACGATAACAACACTGATACTCGGCCGGCACTTCGTCGGTCGTCACGGAAGCCGCAAGATGAACGTAACCTTATAAGTGCTGTATCAGGCGAATCAACTTCAGATGCCTTTATGACCAATACTAGTAGCCCGGCCCTTAGTGGTAGGAATACTACTGCTGAAGCACGGACGTGTGAATCTTCCAATCCCCAGCCAAGTGCCCCATCACCAAGGCAAGGCTACCAATATTCCTCGACAAACTCAGACAGTAAAGTGGTATACTACGGCGACTCCTTTAACCTTGACTATGTGTTGCATGAAATGGGAGACCCTTTAGGCACTTCCCGTAATGGTCGCACTTGGGAGGATGCACTTGAACATTTATACTTCAGTCAGCTAGGGCAGTCAACAAAAACCCAGATAGAAGAGCATTCTCGAAACCAGCGTCTGCAGCTGAGAGACATTGGCGCGCTTGAAAGTTTCGAGAAAAATGTTAGTGACGACTTGATCAGGATTTTCTTTAAGATGTGCTATCCTCAGTGTCCTATTTTTGATCGAGCGGACTTTCAGCTTAAGTACGAGGCTGGGAGAGTGTCACCGCTGGTTCTGCAAGCTGTGTATTTCGTGGCCCTTAACCATTGCAGTGAGGAACTTTATAAGCGGGCTGGCTTTGCAAATCGATATCTGGCAACATTTACATGTTATCAGAGAGCGAAAACTTTATACGACATAAACCACGAATCTGACGCTATAGCGACTCTTCAAGCGATCTATCTGTTGTCTTTCTGGTGGGGAAGCCCGATGGAACAGAAGGATATGTGGCATTGGACTGGTATTGCATGCAATCGAGCACAGTCCCTGGGATTGCATCAACGGTTGGTCATTTATGGCAGATGCTGTGAGCTGGCTGACGCTTCCTTAGAAAAACCTATGTAGGATTAAGTGAGAGAAACAGAAAACTATGGAGGCGGATTTGGTGGACTGTTTACGTATGAAATCCTGGGTTAAACGATGGTTTCTGCTGACTTAATTATTTAGGTACATGATATCTCTGTAACTCTAATGCTAGGAAGAACCCCGCACATCAACGATGCGTACTGCAGTGTGGAGATGCTGGGCGAAAATGATTTCGAAGTATCAGACGACGACTTAATCAATTCTGATCTGCTTCCAGAACCAACTCGTGCAAGCCGGCTTTACTGTATCCACTTAGCAGAGCTATATTCGCGAAGTATGTCTACCCAGTTATGCTCTCGACTAAAGCCTTGCTAACACTGCCAAAGCAAGCAACTGTTGGCTAAATATAGCTGGGGCAAAGTTCAACGAATCGGTAGTTCTCGAAAGCCTGGACGATCTTACATCATGGAAAACGTCCCTTCCAAGAGAATTACAGCAACGAGAATCTACAGTTTCTGTGGAGGATAGCCTTTGGGCGACCCTGGTCAATCTAAGTTACTTGTAAGAAATACTTACCTAGAAGGAAATACCTCTAACAGACCTTCAGCACCGTGCAGATTTTAATGCGCCGGAACGGCTTTAACGATCCGGACAGAATGAAGGTCGGGTCAGTTGTGTTTGATGCAGCTGTGCAAATCGTGCGGATATTAGAGGACCTTGTGTCATCGCAACTTCTTCCTTTTGCATTGATGCGCAGGTATGTTCTTCCTCCGCACATTCGCCTTGTTAAGAGATATTCACAAACCTAGTGCGCCGGCTGTTTTTGCCGCTCTCTCTGTCCAAATTGCAAATATGCGTGGATGCCCATCCCATGTGGTCGATGTCTCGAAGCATAGAGCTCGACTCTGTATGATGATCATAAACAAGCTGCAAGACCACTCACCTCCACTCCTGTGGTACTATTGCCTCTTTGTCCGGCTACTGCGTAGTATGGGTTGTGAGATCCTCGATGAAGAGAGTCAAGAAGCTTCACATCACTCCAATCAGCGTCCACATGGGCTGCAATCACCTACGGCTGACTTTCTCTACAACAACCGATTTGAAAATAGTTCGCAAGAGGTTGGTCCGAATGAGACCTCCAATGATCTATTGACCGGCAATCCAGCGCTTTGCGACTTTGGCCTTTCTGGGATGACAGCATCGTTTGTATTCTCCAGCTTCATTGACAGCGACTTGATTGATGGGGCATCAACGGATCCTGAAAGCCATAACCTTGATCCATCTTTCCTGTGAAAATATTCGTTTTGCTGCTGGAAAGAGCATTCCGACATGGGACTATAACACCTTTCATCCAAACCAAACCCACAGCTCTTATTGTACATATAAAAAGGAAGAAATATATAGACAACACAAGAACCAATCTCACCTCCGATACCACATCCTAGTCACTTTCGTCTTCCTAATCTTCTTCTGCAGCTGAAAAATCGCATACATCAAAGCCTCTGGCGTCGGCGGACACCCCGGCACATAAATATCCACGGGAACCACCCGATCAACACCTCTAACCACACTATAACTATAGTAATAGTATCCACCCCCATTAGCACAGCTCCCCATACTAATTACCCACTTCGGATCCGGCATCTGGTCGTACAACTGCCTCAATGCCGGCGCCATCTTGTTAGTCACCGTTCCCGCAACAATCATGACATCCGCTTGACGGGGCGAGGCCCGGAAGATGATTCCCAGGCGGTCTTGGTCGTATCGTGGCATAGAGACATGCATCATTTCAATGCCGCAGCATGCGAGGGCGAAGGTGAGGGGCCAGAGGGAGCCTTGGCGGGCCCAGTTGATGAGCTGGTCGGTTGTTGTTCTGTTTATGTGGTTTAGCCAGCGTTGTTGGAACGGTCAATATAAATGGGCATCGTACAGGAAATATTCTAGTTTGCCGGTATCTTCTTTCTTGTTTGTGGTGATGCCTTGCTCTGGACTGGGGAGCTTGGGGACAGTGTGTGGATTCCAGGTTGAGGATTGCCGGGTTTGTCTGATCTTGACTGGTAGAGGTGTTGATCTTCCATGGGCTAAAGAGATGCATGCAGAAGCTTGTTTCCATACTTGGGGTCTCAGCATTTGAGTCCTCATCGTTGTGGTTGTTGTGGTCCACATGGTAAACCTCTGTAGTCGGCGAAGCAAGAATGATTTGCCCTATGGGGGAAGAGAAAATAAAAGAAAAGAAAGGAAGGAAGCAAGCAAGGAAGCAAGCAAGGTGAAGGAATATAGTGCGGTTTATATTGGAGAGAATATCTGAATATATTATATAAAACATGTTTATATCGCCGACATACTTGACACTGAACAGCATGTCGGCGATATAGTGTATGTTTTAGGCCATATCGGCGATATGCTTTTCGTATAGGGTTTTCATTCGATGGGCGAATTGCTCTGCGCCAGTCTGTAACTATGAGAAACCTCTCCTTCGTCAGAAATTGTTCAATTGATATTGATTCCCCTATTAACCTCAGATTATGGCTAAAATCCAGAAAATGTATATCGTTGAGTTCACTCAACAGTGTATAGACATGGGCTAAGGATACGGACAACAAAACCAACAATAATACTATACGCGCTTGACGCTTACCATTGATAATGAAGACAAAATTGTTCCATTCTTGCTTCACAGCGTTACCCTACATTGATCATTCACTTCGTACAGCCCATAGAAGGATATGGCCAATAATCTATCCCACGTCAGGTGCGGGGAGACAACTGTCGATCGCGGGGACAACAATTGCACCTTCACTCTCACAACTCCCCATCTACGACCTACATAGCATAAAAAAAGCACCAACAGAATGGCAGCATACCCTCGTCCAGATTTTCAACGCCCAGCACTCAATTGGACGTCGCTCGACGGCCCCTGGGACTTCATCTTCGACGATGCAGACAACGGTCTATCGCAGCGCTGGCACCAGAAAGGAATCCCCGCCAACACCGCCACACACGCCAAACGTCAGATCCAAGTTCCATATGCATTTCAAACTCCCGCATCAGGAATTGGCCTCCACGAGGCCCACGAGGTGCTGTGGTACGAGCGCACGATAAATGATATCCGTACGGCGGACGAACTGGCCAAGGGGAATCGATTAGTGCTGCGCTTCGGTGCAGTAGACTATGACTGCACTGTCTGGGTTGATGGCCAGGTGGTTGGAGGGCATCGGGGTGGCCATGTGCCCTTTGAGGTTGATGTGACTGATCCATTTGGGACCGAAGAAAGTTCCATAGTAGCTAGACGTCTAACAGTTCGGGTGAGAGACTCGCCGTCTGACCTTTGCCAGCTGCGCGGGAAACAGTATTGGGGTCCTATCCCTGAAAGTATCTTCTACACACCGACGAGTGGAATCTGGCTGTCCGTTTGGCTGGAGAGTGTGCCCAGGATGCGATTGGGCAGTAGCAGTGACGGCCTGGTCCTCCGGTCGGATGATATCAACCGGGGGCAGCTTCATGCGCAGGTCGTGGTTTTAGATCGCCCAGCAGCGGCGAAGTGCCAGGTAGAGATTGAGGCGAGTCTAGGGGGCGTCATTGTGAGTCGCAGCAGACAAGATCTGCCACAAGACAAAGACTACGCGAGTCTCAATGTGGACATGCGTGGGCCAGACCCTGGCTCGTTGAAGGAGAAGGTGCCCTTCAACGTTGACGGGTGCTGGCACAACGGAGTAGCGCTCTGGGCACCCGAGCATCCTAACCTGTATGGCTTAGCTTTGCGTCTGTATGATGCCTCGGGTAATCTGGTTGATGTGGTCGAGACTACCACCGGCATGCGCAGTATTTCCTGGAAGAATGGTGACGGGACCTTCCGGCTTAACGGGAAGCCTCGTTTCCAGACCCTGGTATTGGACCAAGGGTATTGGCCAGAGACCGGCTTGACGCCTCCATCGCAAGAGGCACTGAAGGCTGACATCGAGATGGCGAAGAAAATGGGCATCAATGGGTGCCGAAAGCACCAAAAGGTGGAAGACCCCGTCTTCCTTTATTGGGCCGATAGACTGGGGTTTCTGGTCTGGGGCGAGATAGCGAATGCATATGAGTTCAGTGATGAGTACATTTCTCGGTTCAACAGCGAATGGATTGAAGCTGTCAGGAGGGACATCAATCATCCATCTATCGTGGCTTGGACCCCTTTCAACGAAAGCTGGGGATATCCTTCCCTTAAGGATAACATCGAGCAGCGAAACCATATCCGAGCGGTGTACTACTTGACTAAGTGCGTTCTTCGACTCCCTTACTAATAATGTATGCTTCTATCATGGACTGACCAGTATGATAGGACTCTGGATCCCACTCGACCTATCAATGACAACTGCGGCTGGGAGCACGTTTCGACAGATTTGACAACCTACCACGACTACTCGGATCACCCTGCGTTGGCCGCAACCTGTTCGGACTTCAAAAATGGAATTCTAGGCCAGAAATCGAATCACGACATGTTCGTGGGTCCCACTCCTTCTGCTAGCCCTCAGTCCCTGGACCCCGGTACTCAACACACGCCAGGCGCTCCAGTGATTTGCTCTGAATTCGGAGGAGTAAATATCATTCCTGCGAAGGGTACCGCTGCTGGTGAAAGGGACTGGGGCTATACTACCGCAAGCAATCCGGAAGACCTACTGAGCCGTCTGGAAAAGCTGGTGATGGCCGTCGTCAAGGGAGGACATACGTGTGGTCTAGTATATACGCAATTGTGAGTTCCAAATTTTTAATTTTTTTTTTCTTCATTTGCCTTACTCCATATACCCGAATTTTATATACGTTTCTCCGTTTCCCAAGAGGATATGGAGTATGACGAGAATGATAGCTAAATAAAATGCAGATGCGATATTGAGCAAGAGGTAAATGGCTTGTATTCATACGATCGCAAAGAGAAAGTTCCGGCTGCCAGAGTGAAGGCAATCATGGATGCTGCCCACCAATACTACTACGACCACGTAGCACCGAAGCAAATCCTAAGTAATAAGTGACGGGGAGAGACAAGCTTTGGTTTGACCTTCTTCTAGACTCATCAGCAGCATTATGAGTGAATACCAAATATTTGAACAATATAAAGTCCATGAAGTAGCTCAAAGCAAGGCCCCATGGTAATCCTAGTAAGCAGACAAAGAAAAAAAAAGGCATAGACAAACCCGGAAGGGACAAGTGCAATGGAAGATTAAAACCATGCCTGTTAGTAGGATAAGTCCTTACTAAACTCTCCCAGAGAATATTATCTCATAATATGTCAAACACTGGAGTCATACGTTGCTACCCTACTTTGGTTAGCTTTGCTTATCAGGAGAGAAATGTGCGTAGTACCTACCCCATACCGAACATCTACAAAGCACCACTTCATATCAGGGCTACTAGGCGATACATTCAACGCGACTTAAAATTGCATATCCATCGTAATTCACGAAAAAGAGCCACAATACCTTATGGCAGTCAAAGTCGAGCGTGAGAGCATCTATCTCGTTCTTAATTCGAGGCGATGATGTGAAAACCTAAGCCTTAGGGCTCAGGAAAATAGTGGATGCCCAAGATTATCTGTAGATACCTGTAACAGTGCCTCAGATCAGATTATGCACCTAATGAAATGTCCCGGGCAATCCGATGGTGATAGAAACTCGTTTCTGTAAAAGTCGACTAGGCAAAATGGCTCTAGAAATTAGGGTTATCAGGATACTGGTAGTTTTGAGTTTCACGTTTATCAAATCTACATGATGATATGTCCTCTTTCATATAAGATGCAAGCAATCAAAAAGAAAATTAATCGAGGAAGTATATAACTATCTCATGACTTTTTATCCTGAGAAACATGGAGGAGGATACTATCTATGTTCTGACATGACAAGCAAACTATATGCCCAACTAGGCAACACTAAACCAAATCCAGTAATCCCGTTCATCACATGTGGAGACTATATCGTGATTTGATACCAACACCTTCCATCATCTTTAAATACTGTACATTCAAAGACATCCATCAACACCTACAGCTCAACCCTTCAACAAACCCCAAACCAAAACCACCGACTCACAAAATGTCATAAAACAGACCACACCCCTACACAACCATGGTCCAATTAATAACAACAACCCGCATCCTCTCCGCCCTAGAAGCGATCCCAACCTCAGATCGCAAAGACCTCGATCTACCCTCCAACCCATCACTAGACAGTCCCATCACCCACGACCAACTAATCCGTCTATCCCGCTACTTCCGCGCCGAAAATGCCACTTCCAACGCTGAGACCCGAAGTCTCAACTCTCTCCTCCACGGAACAAAAGTCTACGTTCCGCCTCCGCCCCCGAAACCCGAACCCGTACGTCCCTCTCCCATCTTCACCTCCTCCAAATAACCATACTTAACCATACGCCACAACTACAACCACAACCACTAGTATAAATACGCCTTAACTAATGACTATACAGAGCCCAGAATATCTCGCCCTAAAAGCGCGTCTCCTAGCCGCCTACGAAACAGACACCTACAACCAAATGACGGCCTCATCTAACACCACAAATGGTCCATCACCGATCTTCACTTCCTCGACACCGACCGTTTCGGCTCTCCATGAAGACGATGCACACTCGGACGCGGATACTCTTACCCCCGGACTCGTGCTGAATATTTTTCTTTCGGTTGTTATTACCGGGTTCAGTGTTTATTGGGCGTTGACGAGTTTTTCGACGCCGGAGTTGTTGACGGAGGCTGTTTCGTCGGTTTGGGACCAGAACCATGGGTCGAAGAGGGGTGGAGGTGTGAGTGAAGCTGTGAAGGTGCTGGTGTCGTTTGGAGCCGCGGTGGGGGTGGGCGTTGCTGAGGTGGCGATTTATGCGATTTACCTGGGGAAGGTGGAGCGGGCGAGGAAGAAGGAGAGGGGGGTTAAGGAGAGGAAGGTGGTTGTTGGGAGGGAGGTTTTGGGTAGGAGAGATGAGAGTGAGAGTGTGCAGCGAGTGGACGGGGAGAAGGAGGAGATTTGGGGAAGAGGGCCGAATGGGGGCTTAAGGCGGAGGGTGAGGGAGCGGTGGGAGGAAAAGGAAAAGGAAGGGGATGGAGATGGAGATTGATTGTAAGTTGCCGGTCCGCCGGTCCTCTGTTGACACTTGAACAGGATGCATATGCATGTTCTTGATACCCCTCGGTCCGAAAGGACTGACATGTATGATACGTTTTTGTCGACCCAAAATGAGATACACCTTGTTTTGAAACGATTTTACTCTATTTGGTTGCTTTTACCTACGTTCATCAACATGGCCAGAAACATTTCTGACAAAACATTAATATTGGTATTCATATTCCCTCTATAATAAAACAAAGAAAACAATGCTTAACAGAAATGCTACATCATCGCTCAGTCTATGGCGCTGATATATGCTATGCTGCTGTCAGCTCATTAGTGATCATCAGTAGCGTGGATATCTATGGTCATCAGGTATGTTTTGTTTTTTGGTTGTCGTCTGAAATGTGCGGGTGGCTGTGCGTTCGTCAACAGCCCGATCGAAGTACGGGAGCACAAATGAAAAGAATCAAACCCGTTTCTCTAACAGCAATGTGCCGGCTGGAGTCTTGCTGCTGAAGCCGCCGTCTCGGCTGAAGATCTTCTCACCGCGCAGCCACGTCTCACGGACCATGCCGCGCAGGGTGCGACCCTGGTATGGCGAGCACTTGTTCCGGAAGAGCATGGTGCTAGGCTCCACGACCCACTCGGCAGAGTCGTCGAAGACACAGATGTCGGCGTCAAACCCGGGGACGAGGTCACCCTTCTGGCGCTCGAGTCCAACCTGGGCCGCGGTGTTGGCACAGCACAGGCGCACAATGTCTTGGAGGGCCCGCTTAGTGTTGGTATCCTCCGGCGCAGAGGTGAGACCCTTCCGGCGACTGAGTTCTGTCCACAGGATCGGAAGACCCAGACCAACAGAAGAGATACCGCCCCAGGCGGAGGAGAAGCTACCTTGGTTCTTTTCGATAGCGGCTTCGCCTTTAGAGGTGCAGCTGCCCGGAATATGGGAGGGAAGGAGCTTCAGATCTGGGGTGCACGGGGAGTGATCTGAGACGACAGTCTTGATGACACCATCCTCGGCGTGGCGTTCTAATTCGGCCCAGAGGGCATCCTGGTTGAGCTGTGAGCGAATCGGTGGGCAGCACTTGTGGCGGGTATCACCGTCCCGGATTTCCTCGGCCGCCAGGGATAGATAATGGAAACAAGTCTCTGCAGTGATGGGGATTCCATCTGCACGAGCTTTCTTCAGGAGAGGAATAGCCTCCATGGCCGATAGGTGGACAATATGCAAAGCAAGCTTGGGAGCCAGGTGGGCCAATGAGAGAATCTCTTCTACAGCACAGGTCTCATATGAGGAGGGACGAGATGCCAGGAAAGTGGAGTATGCTTCCGCGGGGCCTTCGGGGGTCTGGGGTTGGTCCGCCTGGGAGGATGTGATGGGGGGTACCATTTCCGCATGGAACATGAGAGTGGTGGGCTCATCGGCAAGTTCCGCCATGGCCTTACGTATGTCTTCAGAGGAGACGGCGGGGAATTCGTCAACCTATAACGGTAAGCACGGAAACTGGTTGACGGAACGCTGGCATACTTACCCCACTGTCGATGAGGAACCCCTTGAAGCCGCGGACACCTTGGTTGACGAGGGCCTTCAGCTCGCCAGCATTGCCGGGGATGATGCCGCCATAGAAGCCGACATCTACCCAGCACTTGCCTTGGGCAGCATTCAGCTTCTCCTTGAAGCCAGCCACGGTGGTGGTGGGTGGAATGGCGTTCAGAGGCATGTCAATGACGGTGGTGACACCGCCGAAGGCAGCAGCCTGGGTTCCTGTGTAAAAGCCTTCCCATTCGGTGCGGCCGGGCTCGTTCAGGTGAACATGGGCATCAACCAAACCGGGAAGCAATACATGAGGCGAATAGTCGGTATAGGGGGTTCCATCAGGGAAGTCAGAGGCAGGAATGACGGAGTCAAAGACCGCAGTGATCTTTCCAGAGGTGCGAGAGATAACGATTGTGGCTGACGTTAGACGACCCGAGATGACGGCTCGAGACGACGTTACCACAGCAATAGAGGGTATTTGTTGCGTCTCCATGGTCAAGGAGGGTTATCGATAGGAGGAGAGAAGAGAAATAAGGGGACAAAGAGAAGAAGAGGAAGAGAAAGTGGGAGAGAGGAAGAGGTCGAGGAGGGGCCCAAAGAGGGTGATGACAGTGAGTGGACGAAAAGATAAGGACGAGTTCAATGAACTGATAAGAAGGGAGTTTCAGAACGGTTTGGGAGGCAAGGGATCCTTATTTGGAAAGTCTTGAAGGTGGGCTGATAAGGACCAAAAAACTCTCACAATGAAGAAATGCGATATGGGAGCGCAGGCACGATATCACAATCCGGGGTATCGATAAGGGTTTTATAACCATTTCCCATCATCTCCATCGTCCGTGGGAGCCCTTAGTGCCTTTTTTTTCAGTCCCCGAATTTTAGCCACGTCTTCTCCTCTAACGATAACAATACTGATCGAGTAATCGGAAAAGGAAAAAAAAAAAAAAAAAAAAGTATAAAAGGGGATCCACTTCAGAAACAACCGGATCCACCGGTGCCACCGGAACAGTATCAGAGATTCGTCTTACTCGATTGAAACCCCGATAAGCATTTCTGACTGTCGGTGTACTCAAATAAGTCTCTCAACCCAACGTGATAAACCCATCAGCCGACATATTCTCCCTCATCGTAGGGAGATTTGTGAACAAAGGGAAGCTAGAAGAATCCATGTGACCCTCGATACCCTCACTATTACCGATTCGGGTATTCGGAAAGGCTCTTGGTCGCCTCGTAAAATCCTGTCTGGGTCTGGGTCCTCGCCAGTCTGACTGCTCCCCCTCAACCGTGGTTTTGCATCGGGCGCCTCCGGCATCCGCCATCGGCTCGCTCCCTGCAATTGTTTTTAGTACCTGTCTTTACTCGATCAAAATTGGTCACATTTCCCCTTCAGGAATTTCCTTTACTCGATGGCTTCATGTAGTTGGACAGTGACCTCGGAGTCATATGTACAACGCAGTGCGAAAAATCGTTATGCAGGCACTCCGCATGCGCGTGAATGTTTCCAATCTCTCGACCATTCGGCTAAACATTCCCTTTGTTGGATCGGAGGCCCCCGTTGGACACACCGCGTCTCTCTCTCTCTTATTATTTCAACTTTCACGGTGAGGGGCCAGTATTCGTTCCTCCTCACTAAAAGTAGATCTCAGGTAGATCCTGGACAACAACAAATCAGGGGAAAACTCATAAATTACCCGGAACTTACCTGTAAATTGTAATACTTACTTCCGAACCAGGACCTCGTCAGAACGCCACCCAGCTAAGCCTTCTTTTGCTTCAGGGCACACCCAACCGAGAGAAGTCCGTACCTGTGGTCGGACCACGCCACCCAAGTGTGCTTCAAGGCAGTAAATACTGTCCTGTGTAGAACCTCCTAGCACCGCATCAGAATGATAGTGCATAGTGCTAAGATGATCCGCAACGGCGAGTAGTTGTGCAAATAGACCTGCTAATTGACTTTCGAGTATCCGCTTTTCGGACGAATCGAAGTTCTGATCGTATACTATCAGACAGGGATTGACTATAAGTTAGTTCCTGTCACCAAGAAAAAGAAGCAAAAACAAAACCAAAGACTAAGATCTAGTCTTTCGATCTGACATCAGTGCCGGATTCAGCCTCGGAGTGGTCGATACCTAATTGGTCCAGTAATGAATTCCTATCGCCGATAGACCTTCGTTCGTGACATTTCTCTAACCAGTTTCGGTTTCGCATCGCTTGTAATAGCCATTTGTTCAGACTTCTATATAAGCTTTGTTCTGGCGTCATCTTGTCAACTGTTTACCTGGACAACGACACACTATAATAGTCGAAGGTGGGGGGGAAGCATGAAAATGAGCATCGTCAGCAAGAAACGATGATATGTTGAATGTCTCTCTTCCATCTCGACAACGGGGAGAAATATTACAACCCGGTCACGGTCGCCCGTGACTTTCCTCTCTGGGTTACGCCAGGTAACCTCTGACGTGCAAGAAGCCCTACATAGCCCTGTTGTCCCTATTATATACACCATATCAATTTCCTGTCTCTCTAGAACCATGACACAATATCGTACTACAAGTCGCAATCAAGATTCACCATTCATCATCCCCACCAGAGCCCCCATCGCATCCCCCTCTCTACCCTCCGGCACAAAAACATGATCGTGGAAAAATCCACTGACAACGTTCGTGCTGATCCCGTGCGCGGCCAACTTCGTCGATATCGTTGCGACCAGGCCCACGGCTTCTAGGCTGGAATGCACCTTTAATGAGATCTTGCGGCAGGGGAAGGTGTAGTTGTCGTAGTGGTGGGTTTCAGCGATGGCTTTGGTGGTAATTAGGGTCAGGCCTTCGGATTCTTGGAAGATCATTTGAGGTTGGAGGGTGTGGAGGGGGAGGGAATTGAGGGGTGTGGTGGTTGAGAGGAAGACGTAGGTTTCGGGGTCAAGCATCGGGTCCATTGTTGAGAGGAGGGTGGGAATGTTTGTTTCGCCGTGGGACATTTTGGTGGTGTTGAGAGTTATGTTATTCAAGGTGGGTTTGGTCTGGGTTGTTGATGTTGTTAATCATGTTTTATGTTGTTCACGGTGGATTGCATATTCAAGGTGGGGTATTGGTCAAATTGTTAGAGTCTAGATTCGAGGAATCCCGCTAATTACTAGTAGTTTCTGATGAGAATGAATTAATAGATGGCCTGTTGGGAACGAATCATCGGCGTTAAATCAAACTCTTCTGAGCTAGCTACTACCGAGTAGTAGAAGCGCCATGTTGACACCGCATATTCTTTGCATCCTTTGAACCAAACGTCTCTCTCTGCTTTCCGGAGTAACAACTACTAACTCAATAGCTACCTAATGGTTGGTCACCAGTTGTCTGCAAAGAAGCTGAAGCTCAAGTCTCGTCATAATAGCCATCCTATTACCCACCAGTCAGTAACCTTGCATAAATCCCTAGAAATATAAGGCCAAACCAGCTCCTCAAAACGGACAGAGACCAGGCGAAACTCATTCATTGCTTTCATCCGAGCTCAGAGTTTCCGAATCGCTATCATTCATCTCCTTCAGCTTCAGCTGAGCCTCATACATGGTCGGATCTGCATGTGCTAGATTCAGCCACTTAAGCATATGCTTCCAAGCGCACGGCATGATACACTCAACATGCTGCATCTCCCCAGACGAGTAACAGCTGCAGCCATGCTGACGGGCGCCCGGGACCTGATAACCCTGTGGCTCGTCGGAGATAACATAGGCACGGCAGCGGGAGGAAACGAAGGCAAGGAATGAGCCCGAGATCTCATCCTTGACAGCCAGCTCAACGTCAATAGAGTGAAGGGGGTTGGTAAGGACAATAGCAGATATGTATCCGCGCCAGTCCTCCCCTGTGTGGAATCGATTCATATATTAGCCGTGGTTCAGACGAATGTTCACCCTGAATACAATATAGTAGCACTTACAGTTTAGAGATAAGTGACGAATTGCACCCTGCCCCCCTTCAGCGATTCCGACGATGTTAATTTTGGCATCGTGGCGCACCAAGCGTCCACGGTCAGCTAGGATTTCATTGAAGACACAAGAGACGTGATCTTCCCAGCAGCCATTGTCAGGGATCTTGTTTCTATGGGTCATCATCAGGGGAGGATCGACGGCTGAGGGACGAGGATAAGCGAGCCAGGTCGGCAGGGTCATCGGGCGACGAGCACCGCAATGCCAAATTAATTGACCTGTATTTGCCAGCACCAGAGCAGTGTCACCATGCTTGGGGGCGGACTCAGTGTTGGTTCCATCTTCGTTGGTTTCGGGGTGAAGGACGGCTTTGGCAAACGAAACAGCGGAGCCTGCATTGATGCCATCCGCACCTATGCTTCGATACGCCCAGATTCCAAGGTCCTGTACTGGCTCTCCGAAAACGACAATGATACGAGATGCCGTGGATAGGTTAGATGACACCAGGATCGGAACGTGAGCTTCATTCACCTTGGAAGTGAGAGGAAGACGCAGGGTTGTAAGGTTGAGCTCCCGTAGACGGGCGGCCACAATCTTGCGAATGCACTCTAGAGTACGTACGAGTGTTAGACACAGGCTGTAAGTTAATCTGGGCAAGGCGCATATCTATATCTCGTCTCAATGGGACGTACCACTCATCGCCTCTCTCTGCATTTCGTTGACGCGGGAATTTTTGTTGATCTTGTACTGAAAATCCTCTTGAGGATTCACGATCTTTCTAATCTGATCGTTCTTATTGATGAAGTATCTAGTTGTCATTCCTCGTTTAGTATTTGGTCATGGCCGTGAAGGAAGCCTCGAATCCATACCCTAATTTCTCAAGGTCCACAGGAAACTCATTCTCGGATGGGAGGTCTTCACGACGGTAGACAAACATCTTGCTGACGTCTTGTTCATTTTATTGTAAGGAAAGACAAGGGAGCACAGGATTAGTGCTATGATGAAAGGGGAAGAATGCGAGGAGAAGGTTTCACTGAGAATAATAGTGCTGGACTTGATTAGTCGTTGTGATGATGCAAACGCATGAAACGCAGTGAATCAGACTACAGATTGAATACATTCATGCAAACGAATATCCCTTGTTAGCCATGAGCGCTCGATCACAGGGCTTGTACTACACATCATGATATGGAGCTTTGTTGTATGCTTGTTAGATCTTCGCTTATAAGACATCTCTATCAGAAGCACCCTTGAACTGCTATATGATCACAGCCGTCAAAACTATGGTATTCGATGTACAGAACGAAGACGACGGCTCAGGCCTTAGACTTCAAGTACATCGTAGTGGAATTGTGACAGTACATCGAGTAAAGACTATCATTCAAGAACAGGTTGGACCGAGATCTTAGCAAAGCATGTATACTGTTATTGTGAAAGCGTACTGTTGACAACTAGAGACATACATCCATTCACCTCTTAAGGTGAATCTTTGTCCATGGGACTATGGCATGAAGGAAAAGACCAGGAACAACAAGTATATTCGCTAATGAATATAAGACTAGAGTTAAAGTGGGTTACCTGATGGTGCTGGTTTTGTCCGTGTACAGCCTAATATAGCACTTGTTCATGAATGATAAAGTCAAGACCTATAATCTGGTGGGAAACATATAGATTCGACCAGTTATAGTATACCCCATTCTTGCCAGGCGTAGGGGACGGTAGCGAGCGCTTGATATAAACAAAGAAGTCGTAATCAGCGAAGAAAAGCCAACACGTATCGTCTATTGAAACCCGGCAGTTGATATATTGTACATCTTTCTCAAAAAAGGTATCGAATTAAACGCCCTCGTGCAAACCGGCTGACCCAGTAGCCATGAATATAATAAAAACAATCCGCGGTATATGGACACACTACCAACTGGCCTTCTTCACACCGGGTAGTTCACCAGCCAGTGCCTGTTGACGGAATTGGTACTAAACACGATGTCAGTCAACGCCTGCCACTCCATTAAACGAGTTGAAGCTGCTTACTCTGGCAATTCTGAAGTCGCGAATCACACTTCGAGCAATACCACCCGCCACACAGCGGTTCTTAATCTGAGTGGGCCGGGTGTAGGCGTGCATCTGGGAAAGCTGCAATTGGGCCTGGGCACGAGTACGCTGTGGGAGAGAGGTGTTGCGGATTATGTAGCGGAGAGCTTGGCTATAGAATCAAAATTAATTGATTAGAGATAGGTTCCCAAAATCCTTGTCAAAGTGGAATGCGACAAGGTCAAAAAAAACGCCGACTTAGCATACCGTTCAGGCTCGTGCTGCTCGAAAACCTTCCGCTTGGTGTGGTCACGGATAACACGGGCGTTGATAAACCCGCTAAGGTCCAGGCGCTTGGATCTGAAGAGTGACATGGTTGTATTTTTCCGTGGCTGGTGAACTGCAATAGTCTGGATGTCGGCACTCGATATCTTTTGATGGCGGTTGTGATCCGGAGTTCTGGGGTCACGGGAAAACACGCTTTCCTACTTTGGATTAGTGTTAATCTGCCATATCGAGTAGTACCATGTAGTAGGATAAGCCGCCGATTGGTTAGGTACTCACCGCCTTCGCTTAAATCGAGGAGGTGTTACCAGACTTGCTGTACTTAGTAGTAGTCTCTAAGCAGGTAGATCTCTGATAACCAACTTACCCAGGATTAATTATTAGGCCACTACGTTTAGATGAGATCCTCACGTTTCTGAGGTTTGTGAGAATTGGCATTGAAATCGAGTTGGCTACTGAGAATGGACTCAACTTGCAAAGGTGTTTATCTTCCGAGGTCATATCTCGCGAGGTATTATGGCAGTATAAATAAGGTGACATTATGATTCCAATATAAAATCGGCTCACCTAACTAGAATAAGAATAAGAATACTTGATCACATGCTCCAGTAAGTGCCCTATAACTAGTCAGTGTGGCCAAGTGGTTAAGGCGATTGGCTATATGTCGCGTTCTACAAACTTCTTTATATATATATCACTAACAACTTCAACAGCGAACTTCTAATATTCGTTATCAATTCCATTTGTGGGCACAGTCGAATCCTGTCGCTGACGTTTCTTTAACTTTTTTTTTGGCCGTACCTTGAAGAAATCGAGGTACTACTAATCATGTCAAAGAATATATCTACTAGTCAAGATAGAGGACCTGTCAACTAGCTGCTAAGGATACGTAGGCAGAAAAGCTGGCAGTAGATACTATAGCAGACAGAAGGCTGATTCTTGCTTTTTTCCCTTCTACTAACAAAGCACTAATTTATAGTCAGAGAAGCCCAAGATTCTCTGTATAGAATCATACAATCACGTAGTCTACTATACGTCTGAACGTCATTATAAGCCAGCGCATATTCTACACACTAGGAACAGGGTATACGACAGTCATTAGGCGGAATTGCTATTTGATCTGTAACAAATTACTACCCTTACAGACTGTATTTACTTGCTACTTACTATATATCATTGTGATTAGGTATATTCTCTGTACCCTAACGGTATTTACCCTTTATTTTAGCCCTTATCAGCGCCCAGAGATACTTAATAGGATTCAGATCCTGCGAATAGAGCAAACATTCCATCGTGGTAATATTTAGCTCGCCAAGGGGCACACATACAATATAAGGCGGTGTGAATAGAGATATTTTCACACACTAAAGTAACATCAAAGTCAAAAGAAATAAAGATTATAGACCATGGACATATTGTCACCCTAGTAAAAACTTAGGAACAAGACCAGTTCGCTGGCAATCCCTTGAAAAGCTGTTAAACAGTCCACTTAACCTACCTCCCGCAAGGGTTATGCCGAAGGCTTTCTCTCTAACCTGCTTATCTCCAACTGTCCAGACAATGCATAGCTTGTTATCCATACCTCCCAAATCGCATGCGTTTTCATATCATTTTACAATTTTATTATGTCTACTGTGTCCTCGGACCCTTAGAGTATTCTAGGTATGAGTTTCTGTTGAGATGCTGAACATCCACAGAAGATACATAGCCAGATGGCGTGGTAAGACTGGCCCAGTTAGGATGTATAGAGTATAGAAATGGTAGAAGTATTCTATAGTAGTACTGGGGTTAAAAGAGATAAGGATTTTTAGAAAAAGCTTTCATGTTCACTTTTAGCAATTTTAATACACTAGCCACGGATAACAGGAAGTGGAGGCTTGGTGATAGCCTTGTCCTTGTTTCATCACCTCTCCTGAACCCTCCTCCGGTAATGTTTGCTATCATTCTAGCTTGTTCTTCTTTTGTGCAGGCTTCCCATCCGCCACTGGGTTGTTTGGAGGGCGAGCCAGCTTTCTCATAGGGTCTACCATCCCGTTATCATCAGTGTAGGCACCATCGATGAAAGCTTTTAATATCGGATAAGTGTTGAGCAGCGACTTATTCCTTGGGTCGATATACACAAATCTCCGAGGCCTTTGGCATATTTGGAGATAGTCATCACCATTAAGCTCATCCACAAAAGTATTTGCTCTGAAGCATCCTTTTATAGTGCTGATAGTAGGATATATTACAGATATTTCATGTTCATCTGCGCTTCTTGTTGAGACTCGGAATGCAAGGCGGGCACCAGGATCCTGGTCTTTGGTTGCTTTAGCCCATACTTGAGGATGTCTAGTTCCAATGGGTGATAGCTCAGCTTGAACCCAACATCCATCTTTAGGCTCTTCTTCCATCTTAACACTGATAGATCCATGTCTAATAAAAACCGTCCAAGTCTTGTACTTTGGTTCCCAGCGGCCATCATACTTATGGCCTAGCATTGAAGCTAGTCGGTTCGTGAAGGGTTGGCATAGTGCCTGTTTCTGAGAGGTGTCTGCGCTGAGAATACAGTCTAGATCTTGGCTAGAGTTAGAGGCGGATTCCTCTTCGGTAGCAATTTTGAGTGCATCATCGCACACAATTTCATCAACATCGCATTCGCACTCTTGGTTTCATCCTTTAAGGCGTCTACATTTTCTTTTGTGGACCAAGGTCCTTGAGGAGCGATTTAACTTCGAGAAGGACCTCAGACTCAGTAGCGTCATGCCGACGTATCTTCGAGTCTGGCAATCTTTTGGCATGATGCAATATCTTCCTTCTTGGAAGGATAAGACTAAGCACTAAAATCCCATATCGTAAGGAGCCACCAGCAGTCTCTGCTAAGCGGCGAAGATCACTCTCACTGCTAAATCCTTTCGCAGCTAGCCAGACCCTTAGCAACGGCTCAAGATCGGTTGGATCAGCCTTGGGTATTCTACCATTTTTCTCATCGTCCCATCTCCGTACAATTAAGGAGACACAAAGAGCAGACTCATAGAAGGATGGGAAAATTGTAAGATCGGTAATAGTAGACACGAACCGAAAGATGTTCGTCAATTGAAATGCCTCTTTTCCATACTTAGTCCCCAGTTCTGAGAGAGGAGCGGGTGCACGGATAAAAGTTCTTGTGATTTTGTGTTGGCTGACTTCAATCCAGGCGTCATGGTCCATCTCTGCCAATGATAATGTCACCTACTCAACGGGGCATTATCTGGGAGAGCTGCTTCTTGAGCACTGTCGCCACATATAATGATAACGCGTAATCGGCTCCCAAGGATTAATTTCCTGGTAGCCGTGCGGAGAGTTTCCCTGTCAATGGGGCGAGGGGAAGCAACTTGAAAGCTGCCTGGAATATGAATATACTTCTGGAGATTGTACATCCAGATTAAAGAGTTTGACTCATTGAAGCCACTCTCTCGTAAACCCCACGGTAGATTGACAGTTTTATCCTGGACCGTGTATTCGCGTAATGGTGTAAGATCGAGAATAATACCAACAGAAGCTTCGATAGTTCCAACTGGAGCGATAAATTCAGATTGATATGTCGGCTCTTGCTGGCGTATTTTAGCTGATATTGACTGAAACCAAGAATTAATATCTAGCAGCTCCCCTTCTAAAGTTCCCCAAGAGTTGTCATTTACTTGTATCAAGAGGGATTCTTTGAGATTCGCATTGCTCTCAATTGCTTGGTAAAGGGCAGCATAGTAGTCCCTTGCACCCACATGCTTTCTGTAGGGTAGCCTCTCTTTCACTGGTTGCCGGCCAGCCTTGTAATCTAAACCATTTCGAATTTTTGGCCAATTGTGGATCTCAGGGTCTGGCGAATCTTCCAGAAATTTACGAGCCTATGACGGATTTGAGGGCCCAGTTCTTTCCCCTGGAGTAAAGGAGTTACAATATTCAAACCCATCCCTGAGTACTGGCCTTGCGGGCATGGCCCAAAGAACAGCTCTAATGTCTTTGCAGGAAGTGATTGGAAAGCTCGACACATAATCTTTTCTAGGAAATTCTCAAAGACCATCTTTACTGCCTTGTCAGTGTTGGGTAGGAATGGTATAGTCCACAGTCGTATGAAGTTAGCTCGCCGTGAGCCATTGCCTTGCTGAATAATATAATAATGAAGGCTGTCCTCAGATCCATTGCGAATCGCCCTAATATGTTGTGGTATTCGCTCTATTGGCTGGTTAGATTGTCCGACATATGGACGCCAATACTCAGAGCTCTGGATATAGGTAACGAAATCCAAATACCCTCTGTTGGGTTCGTGCCAAGTTTTTGGAGCCATGGACTGTTTTAAACGTATATTATGCAGCCTAGCGTATGTGAGTAGGCTAACCCCTGTATCACACGAGGGATTGGGATATTACATACGTGTTAACAGTGTGAACTTTACCTTGCAAAGCTCTGATCATTGGGTCAATTGTGTCATATACCATATCCACAAAAATGTCTGAGCCCCCAACAGCTTCGATGACAACTCTGTATGGAGTAGGATTAAACTCAAATTCCATCTTTCTATCTGAGAATAGAAAGTCGACGAGTATTTTCATAACGGATTTCAAGTTAGGGAAAATGATCTAGACAAACGATGAACTTATTAGTACATATGAACTCCATATATGGAATGAGGTTTTATATTTCTACCTGCAGGACTGGCAGCCCATTGGGATCAGTCGAGTCCGTATTGTTAGAGAAAGGTAAAGGGCGTGTAGGTATTGCGTTGAGAGTTGATGTGCTTTGACCGCAGCATCTGCAGCAAGGAATGGCATCGCAGAGATCGGGACATCCAGATCCGGGAGAAAAATGTTTGCCACATGTTTTGCAAACTGGGTCACAGGTATGTTTGGGAGTCGTAAGCTTACGACAGTCGCTGCAGCAAATAACGGGCCCTGATACTTCCCGAAACTCGTCCTCGTCCTCATCCTCCTTATAGCAAGGTGCCCTGCGACGAGGCCATCTACGTCTAAACACACTACGGGGAGTCATATTGTAGTACTGCCAAAGAGATGATTATACAAAGAGAGAGAAGCGGAAGAAGGGGAAGAAAACATCTAGAGATTTCAAAATTAGAGATCAATGATGACCGGACCTTTGTGAGGGGAGAAATCACATAAGATAAGAGGAATCGAAGGAGGTAGGACATACGGAAGGTGAACATATCAAAGCAGAGGGTGGCATGAAAGGAGGGGTAGGCATCGGTGGAGAGGCAAGGCATCAAACGAGAGAAGAGCAGCTGATCAATCCTCTTTGGCATATGATACAGGCCTATTCGGAACTAGCCAATGAGACACTTGGGGATATCTTATATACTGACAAAGTGTCAGATCAGGTACGAACAAAGCCTTATTGCCTCTATCTATAGTGGGGGTTCAAGAGTATGTGACCCCCAATACCTATAGGTACCCCGCGGCTCTGACTGCCTAGTATGAGCTGCTAGGTATCTATAGGTCGTGATGAAAGCCTACTGCTTGAAACAAAATTAATTGAAGCCAAAACAAATTGAGAACAAAGAGATTGTGCGCTAGGCCTTAACACGGTCTAGGGCGTGTAATTGTCAACATGCCCCTGAATACAAACAGATTCCCTAATCTAGCAGTACCCCGATATTCCTTGATAGTTTGGTATTTGAGTGGTTTAAAGACCTGCCTCTAGAGGTACCTAGGAGTCCTATATTGCACTTAGTAGCTTTATAAAATAGTTGATTCGGGTACTAAATTAGTTGGTATTGGTATTCCAATCATTTGAACAAAACTCTGGATTGTTATAAAAGCAGTGGCGCTCCATGGCCCTAATATCTGCAGTGTACATACTGGTTGTTGTCAATATATTAAAGCAGGCCCTGAGCAGGCTTTCAAACAAGGTGCCATTCTTAGACCAGAATGAGCCACGTGTTGATAAAGTAGTCGATTCTACCAAAGCGTTTTGCTGATCAAGATCAATTGCCCTTGTCTATGGCAACAGTGCAGGGCTTTAGAAAATCCGTTTCCCTTATTATAGTGGCGGTGGTAGGAGAAAAGTTCAGTTCTATACAGGCAGTCCGAGTAGGTAGTCAAGACTCAAGCTCACATAGTAGTAAGAGACAGACATCCACGTCCTCGCCATCAACGACATCTACCCTTTCCCTAACCATCCACTCTATGGCGTCATCAATCGGCTCATCACCGTTGATTAAATCATACCCACCGTTTATACCAGTACAGGTAAGCAACCGATCCACTGGCCAATTGTCTCACCCCTCTGTCTTACCAAACTACACCTTCCCGGTGGCTGGTTCATCATTCAGAGTACCTGGGCGCAGAGAGATGGCCTGGGATGACGAGGACTAGCCCTTCTTACGCCGAGCCGCAGACGTAATCAAAGTGATAAGATCGAAAGGGGGATAGTCAACATGTTGGGGAATTGAGATATAGGACATACGCTTCGTTTTAAAGCTTTCATATGAGCAGTTCGGGTAAGTTTGCCACCACGCCCTAGAAACTAGGCGCCTCATTGCCTCGTATGCCTCAGTAGAATATATAATAAATTCGGTGGTGGAAAGTAGCTACTGCACCAGAGAGGGCTCTATCTATAGAGCAAGCCAGCTTTTTTTTTTTAGAACCAGCGAGATATGTTCCTAGCGAGCGTATTCAGCTGAGGCCTTCGAGGGACGAAGCTCTTTAGAATCTATAAGCACTTTTAGGTAGTGAGCTTACAGTGTGTTTGTTACATATAAGTTATAACTCCCAAAGTTCTAAACAAGAGTAAATTTTCAAGCGTCTAGAAACAGCATCAATGCAATCAGGATATATGGCAGGGATCTGATCTATCCGGATGGCTCCCAGAGTCCAATCTAGCGAGTAGAGCTGCTAAGTGAGCTCTCAGTAAAGTTGTGATCAAAGAGTTTTTTTGGTTGGATGGTTGGTCTGAAGTATCTGACTTTTTAAAAGAGTAATGAGAAAAACAGCTTCTTTAGATCAAAGCAATAATTTAAAAAGCTTCAAAAAGTTTCGGAATAAGCCAGGCCTCATAACCTAAGGTCAGATGAAAAAATAGTTTTGATTTCACCAGTAGTACAGCGGGGGAGTGTTCACAAGTAATCGAAGGGAATTGTGATTTGGACGTCACGAGCCACGCTAAACTAAAATAGCCGAAAATACGCAGTGTAATACTCAATATTTGCCTATTTCCTAAGTATGAGATCTTTTAACTTGCTCTGCTCAGGCAGAAATATATAGTACACTGAAATTATATCAAAAAAGAAGCATTCTTTGATGCACTAATGCACTATTAGAACATCTGTAAAAGTTATTTTAACTTTTTAAGATATCCAAAATATCCTATATAAGAGCTTAATTATAGTTTAAGGATATCTTGAGATAAAAATAACTATAAAGATATTAAAAGTAGAAAATAGTTGAATATATAGGATTACAAATTTACAATTAAGGTACAGACTAAGTATTTTACCTATTTAATATTAGCGTTAGGAATAAATTACACTTCGCTAATCGAAAATGCGCATAATCTCACGTGATTGATCAAACCGAGTCCCCGTACTATCATGTGACAATAAGAACTGTACGGTACACTGTAGTAAGAGCTTTCGAGGCGGTTGGATAAAACCCCCGGCCCCAGTTTAATTTAAACTATCTAAGTGTGGGTTGAGTTAAAAAAAAAAACTAAAAAAGATGAAACGTCAGCGACAGGATTCGAACCTGTGCCCACGAATGGAATTGATACCGAATATGGGAAATTCGCTGTTGAAGTTGTTAGTGATATATAATTGTGTATTTCATGTATGAGATACGTACAGTCAATCGCCTTAACCACTCGGCCACACTGACTTTGTTGAGTATAAATATGGATAAAAGTCTTTATCACATGACAAGGTTTTCCAATCTACTTATACGATTAAATCCGGAATTTACCATTTGTTTGGAGGCCGACAACCTATGCAGCAAATTTTTAGTGTGAATACAGTTACCTACGCAAAACGTTTAGAAACCCACGATATAAATAATATATGTTGGTGTGGCAAGTCATACAAATCTACTATTGGAGCTCTAGAAGGGCAGGGGAACTATATAATACGCTGGTCTACCTTTTCACCTGGCCTCTCACCTATTGAAACCGTGTGGAATTGCACGAGGGATTATTTTCAAGAAAAGTACGGTTTTATAGATTTTATTAGCTCAAGCGCTCACTCAAGATCTATGGTTTTGGAAGTGTGGCAATCCCTGAATGGCGACCTCGACTTCTGATGATGTAGGTGTCTCACCATGTTGAGGTAGTCATTCAGGCAAATCGGGGGGCCTGATGAATAGTAGGTATGCCGGGGCTTTTTTTTTATTTTACTTTTTTTATATAAATGATTTCTATCTAGATAGTTGAATAGTTTCATATTCATTAATTTTATTAAGGCGGCATAAAACTAACTAACTAGTTAGTTAGGTGTCGAATTGACCACTCCACAGGGCTCGGGATGATCTTTTCGCATCTTACTACTAGTATAGTATGGATGAGATGAAAGCGGCCGAGGCGATCTATCTCAACTACCTATGTGACGGTTATTAATGCCTACCCGTCCGGTGTGTTTGATAGGGAGCTCTAGCTCTGGATGACCCTAGTGCAAGTGATCACCATTTACATGAGTTGATATGGTGATAGTGATTTATATGACCTACATCAAATTTACTGGAGCTTCCTAATTACTACGGCATAATGCGCACAACCGTACTATCACCACTCAAGATTCTCATGGAACGGCATGATCAGCGTTCCTGGAGTAAGTCACTGGGAAACAACTTAACTTGATCAAGCCGGCGGATCGAGTGATTCTATAAAAAAGAAGCTCTGTAGGAATGGAACAGATTATCCACACTGCAACACTGGATCATGCATCACTAGACTTGAGCTCTCGATCATGGAATGTAGCCGCCATATTACAAGCCACTTCTTGAAGCTACCAAGACAGGAGGACTGAGAGGCATTTATCAGCGAAAGACAGTTTATATAAAGTTAGCATGAAACCAGAAACGGCGTGTGATAAGCTCTCAGCTACTGATGTAACTTCGCAGCCGTATTACGTAAAGGAATACCATTCAAGGCAAAGGAAACAGATGAAAACTTGTACTGGAAAAGATGACCGTAGTAGTGGTGGTACAACTTGTCAATTCGTCAAAATCCCATGACGGTCTATATGCCTGTACAGAATAACTGTCCGCGAACCGAAACTTGGGCGAAGCAGCAATCCGGGTAATCAGCCACCCTCCATATTCCTCTTTCACCCGTCAAATCGATATTCTCAGATTAACAGAGATTAATTTAATGCTTGTTGTTCTTGAGGTTGGGGTTGCGGGGGTCGTTCTTGAACTCTCCGGCTGCAGAAGGGAACCGAGGTTAGTTATAATTGAGATATTGCGGGATTTGCTTGCATTGAAGAGGAAAGCTAGCCTCTATAGAGGCAGGACATCTCGGGAACTCGAAGAACGGGGTGGCTCACTGTTCATGAGGGCATTGCCGAGGGAGTTGATGCCGTAGAGGATGACAGCGCCTGGTAAAAGAGTCCCGTCAGTATCCGAGATCTGGTACCTTGCGTACTCGTCCAAACACATATCCCATAGTCGAGATCAAATAGAATAGACGTATTCGAAGAGGAGATTCAATAATGGTGATGCATACCGGCAGCGAAGAAGGGGCCCAGAGGCTTGGCTGTAACGAGGTAGGTCAGTCAGCTTTCGACCTGGTTTAATCCAACATAAATCTCCGACCGACGCGATGCCTTACCGATGGGGGTGGGGAACTTCTTTCCGAGGAGAGACATGGTGACAAGTCGTGAATTGTACGGGAATGTCCTAAGAGGATAGAGGTGAGAGTTGAGTTGATGTAGGCGGAATACGGTGCAACGAGGAGGAGCGGGAACAACGAGTTTTGCCCGGAGGTCCGACTCCCGGCCGCTTTTACCATTGCCGCACGGGCCCATCGCCGCTTTTATCACTCCGTTAGCCCCTCCGCCTGTAAACAAATGCAGCGGTTATCATCGAGTCTAACTTCATACTTTCTACGTATATTCAGAAACGCTTCTACATTACTGCTACCTCATGTCACTATGGCGGCATCACTAAATGCTTCAGTCACGTCTCTCCAATCCTCTCTACAACTTCTCGACTCATCTATCTCCACTCTTGAGTCGGGTGTTAGTGACTTTCCCCGCCTGTGTAAGGTCTTGCAAACAACCCGAGTAAGTGCCGGCAACATACCTTCCGGAACCCGGTCAACGTACTGATAAAAGTTCAATCACAGCACTTTGAACTTCTCCCCGAGCCTACGCTCCGCGAAGCACAGCAATCACTACTCGATGAGATCACTCCCAGCATCAGACACTTGCTATCATTAGCGTCAAACCACGTCGAAAAACTCTCTCGTCGCGAACAAGCTCTCCGAGCAAAAGCTGAGCTGCAGGAAGGCAGGATGTACTCCAGCGAGAGTCGCCAAACCTCAAGCCGTAGCCAGAATGCCTATGGGGATCGACAAAAGGCGAATGCTACAAAAGCGGCAGAGTTCAGGCGGTTGGTACAGAAGAAGGAACGGCTGAAGTACGCCGTTGAGAGACTGGAGTTGCAGAGTAAACAGCGCGAACGTCAGTTGAGAAAGAGCATGGCTGCCCAATAAGTCTGCACCGGCGGAGTGAAAACTATAGCAACAGCGCAAAATGGTTGCAACTACGTCATCCCTGTACACCTGCCATTATATACGGTGAAACTACCAGAGCTCGACAACTCCGCCTCAAAGGAAGGAGGTCACCATCATCGCCGAGTAGCGCTGAGACCGTATCTTTAAAATATGTCTACTCTTTGCATTAGTACTCACCGTGCATAGTGCTCGACATATGCGCTACGAATGTATAAAGCCGAGGATTGACGATGCGAAAGTAGAGTCTTTCAGTCAACCATCATCCGCCAACAATTGCCATATCCCTCATGCTAGGATTTGGCGGGCACCTTCAGGCCATTAGTGTCTTCCCGTGAATCATTCGATTGCGATTGTCTCGGCACAGTCCATGGATTATATAGGGGGCTGCTGACGTTGTATGTGAGAGGAATATTGGTCACTTTGAAATTGAGTGAAGAGCTCAATAAGCCATACAGTTGTGGTCTAATTACATATATCCGTTATTTATGATACATTTATAATACATTTTTCAGAAATTGAAGCCCAGCTGCCTGTACCGAGATATGAACCATCCATGCGCCGTAGCCCTATGCCTTTGTTTCCCGCCAGCCGATGAATTATGCCAAACGAAGCTTTCAAACCAAAAAGTCATCCTGTGCTACTTTCGCAGCGGCATGCTTCTTCGAAGCCTGTCTCACCTTCTTCTTGTCCGCATGCTTCTTCCAGCTAGGGATTGTTTGACCCTTCTTTCTCTGCGGAATTGGCACCTCAGGCCAGTCAGAACCCTCGGACTGCTGCTCAAGTTCACCTTCCTCGGCTAATTCGGCCCTGAGGGCTGCCCGCCTAGCCAAACGTTCTTTCTTGCCTTCGCCGTGCTTATCACCGAGTCTCAGGCCTCTAGCGACGCGTGTCTTCGCACCAAGAGCCCACAGATCCCCCCAGTTTGACTTGCGAGCATCTTTATATGCCCGACGGCTATAGGAGCGGGGAACAGTCCAGCGCTCAATCTTTCCAGCAGGCGTACAGAAATCAAAGATGACATGTCCGCGGCGTTTCATTGGGGGATACACAATACGAGGAAGAGACAAGGTGTGGAAGTTCTCGGGCTTCACCTGTTCGCTTGCCTCAGTCTGAGAACCAGTAGCTTCGTCTGATGGTTCCGGCTCTTCTACAACTGTTTCGTGTAGATCTTCATAGCCAGCAAAGGCCGCTTCGGTAGCTTCTGGGCCTTGTACAATACCCTTCGTCTCACGCAAGTCCACGCCACGTTGTACAGCGATATAACTGAACTTCACATCTTCGTGGTTCCGATCCTTGGCTCCCAAGATACGCTGGAGGAATGATGGTCTGATATATCTCTGCTGGAAATGGCAATAATCTTTGCGTCCCTTGGAATGACCTGGGGTGTTGAACATGGGGCATTTCTCATGGTTAGTGCAGGGCGCAACGATCATTCCAGGTTCCTTCTCAATATGTGAATCCTCAATTGGCGACTCCGTGAAGTTGGTATATTCTGTAGAGCCAGGGCTCGATACGAGACGCTTAAGAATCATCTCACGGGCTCCAGCAATTGCTTCGAATCCTTTCTGGTGTCCCTTCTCGAGAAGGATCAGAACACCGCCCTCAGGGTTGAGGAGATTCCACAGATTCTCCACGTGCTCTTTGCGTAGGAATTCCTCCTCTATGCCGAGCAAGCTATGGGGAGCCACGATAATATCGTACTGCTTTCGCTTTGGAGGAGCTCTCTCATCATCTAGAGTAGGTTTCTCGCGGATGTGAACATAGTCAGGCAAGCGTGGTAGGAACGAGGTGTTCTCCAACATTAAACTAGCACGCATTCGAAGGGCATCCGAACCAGTGACGACAGTCGATCTACCCACAGGATAAGGACTTGCCTTGGGATGGTCTGGGACCATAGACTCCCACTCTGCACGGATGACATCTCGCCATGCAAGGACTCCGGCGCCACCAGCACTGGCATCAAGGATATGCGGGCCATCTTCTTTCGAGATGAGCCCACGCAACCACTCCGTGCCCAAGCGCTTTCGGACCTCGACCAGGGTGCTCAGTATAGATGTATACATTCCAGGGTACAGAGCCGCAATGTATGCATTCGCCTCCATTTCTGTCATGTGCCGCTGGGAAGCGTCTAGTGGGATAGGAAGCTGAGGCATCTGTGCGCGTGGTGGGGGAGTGGTAGTAGAATAAGGCAGGCGTGTACCGCCAAAGGTGCGATGGGCAACATCTGCAATATGCTTATTGGAGTAGTCGGACAGAATGATGGAAATAGGTCCAGTTACTGTATCTTTGGGCAGGAAAACAGTACTGGGATCAGTAGAGAACTTCCCTTCCACAGTCAGAGGATGCAGTCGAGGCGTGTCGTCGGGATTTGCTTCTTCTTCAAACTGCTCCAGCATGATTTCTCCGCCGAGCTGTTCCGCCACTTCCCTTGTCCGTTGCATGGCGATAGATTCATCCTCGACCGGGCCGACCTCCATATCATAGACCACAGGTGGCTCATCCACTGACTCAGCCTGCTCAAAATCGACTGCTTCCCATCCTCCCTGGCCATCTTCACGGTATAAAACATCGGGGTCCTTCTCATCTTCCTCCACTTCAAGCTCCAACTCCTCCTGGCGAATGATCGGCTCGCCATACAGCTGGATGTATAACTGCAACTCAGTGTCGTTTAGAAATCCATCGGGCAGAGTGTCCCCAAACACCTGTCTCGCCTCCTGTACGCGCGCTTCTAAAGTCTCCTGGTCCCGATGGCCGATCGTCTCGCTAAATGCATGATCAAGTTCTGGACCATCAAGGTTAAGAGCTTCCCAGTAGTCGTCCAACAGGCTCAGCTCATCCATAAGCTCAGCCATTTCCATCTCATTCTGTTCAATCTTGTCGATCACGTTGTAGACAGCGTCCTTCCGATCCGTATTGACATTGCCATCTACGGGGGGCACCGTCGACGCATATCGCCGTCCATTTTCCAAACCGCCGATTGAGTATCCAGTAGCAGTCTTTCGAGGGAATCCGACCGGTGAATTAAGGGACAACTCGTATCGCGCGTTTGTGTATTTGTACCGCTGCGCTATGAAACTGGTAGCTCCGCCGCGGAGCTGTTGCGAACTGATTTGCGACGACTTCGATGCAATGGTGCGCAGAAGGCCGTGGGAGCAAGACCGGCTCGCCGTTGATGCTGGGGATCTTGATAGCATCATCAACCCTTCTTACCACCCGGAAAGCGATGATTAGCGACCTGAGTCTGGGGATGGAGGGAAAACGCCACTCGTGAGAGCTCTGTTTAGGAAAATCTTTGCCAAGAAATGCAGCCATCAGAAATTCCGCTCTTCCCATTGGCGGGTGGAAGGTGGTAGTCCAATTATGTAATTTTTATAGTATGTGCATTATCTCCAAGTCATGAAATTAAATATATAGTACTTAATGATATGTCAATGTAGTTGAATGATATAGAACAGTTTGTGCAATTTAGAGCCTTTTAAAACTATTCCTCGCTATCGGTATCTTCGTTGCCCATGAGCACTTTCAGTGCAGAAATCCATTTCATCACTTCGTGTTGCAGAGCAGTCAACTTCGCCATGACTGCCATCAGGCTCGGGTCCTGACTCTCCACGCGAATCTTTTCCCTTACTTTGACCTCGTCTCCCTTCCACGTGAAAACATCTCCGGCCTCATCATGCGCACGGTGTCGAGTTCCAAACAAACGGTCTCGCAAATTGAACCCGGTCAAAGAAATGTCGGTGGCAAAAGCTGTGGGAGTATGTGTGGGTGTGCTAGACTCGAGCGTCCTTAGGTACAAGACGAGGGCAGAATCGGCGATGGATAGATGGAAAGAAAGGTTTAGCGGCAACGGTGGGTCAAACATCTTCGCAGTTATAAGTTAGTCACCAATAAAGAGGACCACAAAATGACGCGCCGAACATACATCCTCAAGCGCACTTGTCTCCCACCACTTGCCCCTGATTTGATCACTCTCGCCCTTCAACATCTGCCGAGCCTCGGACAGAGTTTCATATAGTAAACGCAGCTGTCCATATATGAAACTTGCATTGAGCGGGTCGCCAGTCCAAGTGCTGACATCCACCACATCGAGACTCTGGTTGACCAAGTTCCTCACCGAAACCAACTGATGTAGCACAAGCTCTGGAGCACCGGGTGAGTTCGACAAACATAAGCGAGTCGTTGGGGAGCCACGCGCAGGAGCAAGGGAACCAAGGCGTAGTTGAATATCCTAGCGCACGACAATACCTGGTCAGTCTAATTGGTTCGTCCGAGAAATAGGAGAATGCAAGCGCGAACATACGCCTTTCACGATTTCCGTTCCGATCCTTGTTATGAAGCCCTTCACGATCTCGGATCGTACAGTGGATACCACCAATGTTGAGCCTGGCTCTTTAGGAGCAAGAAGCGCAGCGCATTCATGCAGGCCTTCTCTTAGGGAGGCGAGTGAGTCTTGCAGGGAACGCAGTAACCATTCTAATTCCCTGGCCTGTATTGGTGTCAAAAGTCAACAACAGAGGTATATCATACATGCGATTCTTTAACTCTTGAAATGGCCAAAAGAAACCAGTAGACATCTGGGGAGAGGTATACCAATGCACTATCAGCCTCCCGTTCCAGCTGCTGCGGAGGTAGCGGCGGGTATACCCAAGTAGCCATTCTGGCGAACCGAGTCCACTAGATCAGGAGTTGTGCCGTTTAGGTCAGGTATCGAATTTTTATTACTACTCCAGGATTGAGAGAAAGGTAGAGATATGCCGGAGACCACTGTTCAGTCAAATGGTTGCTATTGCGCTATTGCTTCAGCTCTTGTGACGTTTGTAGGTGGATGGAAACGTACTAGCGTAGATCTAATCTAACTAACTGTCGCCTGTGTAATTACGTAATGCAGATCTGCATCGGGCCTTATCATGTATGCACTCAAGTCCATAGTTCTATCTGTATGACAGATCTTTTGTATATCAGAGAAAGGATTGGTAGGGGGAACTAAGGCAAACCCTTTTACCGACTTTCCTCTTAAACAAAGCCGTGTCTGGCGGCTATATCAGCTGTAGCCTACCCATACCCAGTTCTTCGGCATCACACAACACATATATACAACTTATTTTCAGCCTTGTGCTTTGCAAGTCTCCTTCTATCGCAGGCGCCGTCCAGCAAAGGTTGCCAAATAATTTAATACTAATTGTTCATGCGTCACCTAGAACATCTAATAGCGAACAAGACTTTAGGCGCCGAGTATTGATGGACTACTATTTGTTTCGAAGCTATCCAGACCGTTCCTCCGCAGCCAATCAACTCATACTGGCGAGTCGCTTCAGGAGCAAATGAAGTAAGAGAGAAAGAAAACTACTATTTTTTTATTTACACGGTCATTAAACATGGATCTAGTGGCGACTTTATAGACATCAGAATTCATTCGCATGGTTGATCAACGCGTGGGAATCTTTTCCGTGTTCTTCGACTCGAAAAGCATAAATATATGCCATCCACTCGTTGGGACATGAATGAAAAGCAAGCCATCCACATCTCATACAAAGTTGTATGAAAGCACGAGCCGTACAAAAGGTTGGTAATGGGTTCTCCCCTGGCAGGCGCGACTACTATTATTAATATGGCCAATGTAGAGGTAGAGATATTGCCGCAATGTGCAAGAATATCGTAGTGAAACAAGTTGTATTTAACCTTCTATCGACATGGCCTATCAGCTTTCCGTGTCAATATCCGGTCCGGGGACCTCCGAGCGTGCTCATTGGGGATTGGTTATCCATAAGCCACCAAGTCGAGTTGGAGACCTCCTACATGTTAGAGTCATCGATGATGATACCAACCTGTTTGCATTCGAAAATCGCTCCGGGCATGTCATAGATGATCAAAGTGCATGGGGCCTGGCCAAGGTAGCAATGCTGGATGATGTACAGCGCGCTAAAGCACTTTCAATATTAATTAATGAGAAGCCACCAAGCAGTGAGGGGCAGGACTGTCAGGATTGGGTACTGGATGCGTTGGTCTCACTGGAAATCGAAGAACTAGTCCCGGATGGAACGACACAGACATGGTCACCAAGGACTGGCAAGCAGACAAAGGCCATCCAGCACGAGGTTGGTCTGAACTGGGAAGTCCTGAATGGGAGATGGTAGATGAAAACCATATACGAGAATATACCCCCATTGACCGGCCTACTGCATCGTACAGCTTGCATTCCGTCGAGGTAAAGGGGAATAAAGACCGAAGAGTAGCCCAGCTCACTTCTCATTCATAGTAATTGGCTAGAACCCTGTCACCATTCAATATTCCGCTCAACCCATTTCAGAATGATAATACTAGCTTTATGTAGATACCATGTGCCAGCACATGCAAGCTACTAGAGCTTTCAATGCTGTAAGATATGATTTCCTCACTTGCTTGTCTAGCTTTGATAGATACAGGGTCTCGGATCGAAATACCGTACCTACACTCCTCTAGTGATTCAAAAAGTGCATATCGCCTCGCTGAGGTGGAGTTTTAAGAGTGTCTGGAGATAATATCCTCACATAGTCCGCCATTCACTATGTCTAATATGAAGCTGACTAGTTTGCGCCATTTGAGGATATAGGAATCCATTTGTCGGGGAATCAGTGTCTGTTCATGGCACTGGAATATTTGTTTTAACCGCAATAAGAACAGTGCTTCGGCTTCACTCATATATACTCCCCATCAAACTTTCTGATATTTTCCAAATTTCACTGTCGTCTGCTCAAGTTCCACAGCTGATCTATGGCTGATCTGAATTGACCCATCGTAACTATGGGGGTGTTTTGTCTACGCAGTGATTCCACAAAAATGACTTTCGATAATTTGAACTTTCCATCAGGATTCTGGGATTTCCATTGTCTTAGAATGAATTCCATGTAGCAATTCCAACTTTTGACCTTATCAAAAACTTGAAGCGCCAACACACCTGCGAATTCCAGCAAGAAACTCTTCCTTTAACCAAGTTGTTGGCTACGGGTTGATCATATTTGGGATAATACTGGGACTTCTTCTGACAGCAACTGGAACATCCGACCATGACAGTGCCTGATCTGAGAATATTGAGCTGCTGATACACCGCTGTTATGCATGTCGTGCAAGTTAGATCTAAAATAGCTCAATCTAGAAAACTGGTATACTGGCCCAAGACAAACCAATGCTCAAACACAGCCAGTTTAAACTTCGATGACATGTTTAAGGTGTACTCCTACGTGATTATAGTTTTATGCCTTTATGCCAGTTCCATTTTTCTTTTTTTCTTTTTTTCTTTTTTCTTTTTTCTTTTTTTTTGGGGGGGGAGGACTATGGGGAATGGCCCCTGTATGACTCGACATCATCGAGTGTAGTGTCAACCTGGCTCAGATAAAATCGACGTACCAAGGTGGCGAGTGTAAGGCAGAGTTCCGTGTAGGCAAAGACTCATATATAGAGAGCATGGTAAGAATCCCCATAGATGTGCGTAAATTTAGACTAAGGAAGAGGAAGAGGAGAAGAGGGGGTGTGAGGATACGTACTTTATACCTAGGCATTCCCGGCTTCCTCTGGAAAATGGAACAAGCACTGACTCAAGAGCTTTTCTTTCTTCTGCCGTGCCCAGCCATCTTTCTGGGCTGAATGTGAGTGGATCCGGAAAGTGCTGATGATCTACATGAAGCATATTGATTGACTCATTGGTGTCTGTCAAAGTATTAGTCATTTCCAATATACGGGCACCATACTGCACTTACACCTGGAGGTATAATGTGTCCTTTGTAGTTCAATGCTTCGAAAGGCGCGACTCGTGGCCGGCGAGTGAGTACGCCAAAGGAGAGCCGAAGGGCTTCTGGTACTACTTTGCGCTTCGTGGAATCAGCTAATAGAATATTTGTCAAAGCAATGTACTAGCAAAAGAAGAAAGAGAGGCGGAGTCCTATAGTCATACCATTAGTGGCAGAGTCTCGAGCTCGAATAGATTAGGAACATGACTTGGCTGTGGCATCACATGTCTGAGCTCTTCATGAAGCTTGAAGAAAAATTCCTTGTTATTTGATAAAGCATGGTCACACTTAGTGTCCAACCTGTTGCTTCAGTTCCTGCAGCAAAAAGAATATGAACATACTGTTACAGTCGGTTATCGTTAGGTCTTGAATCTAAACTATAAAGTCTATGGTCTAACACACAAATCTGCCCGAAATACTTCTTAGATATAGACATTCCTCCCGGCGTATGTTTCGAAAGAAGATGTTGTTTATTTATTTTATTTTATTTTATCTATTTTTTATTTTTTTCGGAACCAAGATAGAATGGACTAAAACAAGAAATCTTAAGCCTAAACCTTTTTCTCCTCCCCTTTCCGCACTAATGACTCCTGCTGGTTTCAGCAACTTCGAGTTGGAGCCGGTTCTCATCTGACGCTAATCTAAATAACGGATAGCCATTGTCTCGAGTACCACAGGGATTTCGATGATTATACTATAGGTCTTGAGATCGTGAGTGGTGAGAGATAACATCTTAAACACTCTTGTGGGTATATGTCCTCCCAAAGAGGAGATATTCGCTTGGTCAACAAGGTAACTTCTTATACAAGAACCGGAGAATAGAATGAATTCATGTCCCAGTAGTAGATAGCTGGATAGAAACTCACCGGCTGCTCAGACATATCCTCGGTCATGGAGAATATCATCACCTTCAAATAGCGCTCCAACAGAGATCGGATGATCCTTTTTAATAATATAATTTCTTCCTGTTCGAGTCTAGAAATCAATGTTCTCCACTTAGTTCGTGCACCGGGCGTTGAAGCGTTTTGGTATCTCTTCATTGGAAGGTCAACAGTAACGACAAGCCATCATGGCTACTCCGCCATACACTCAATTAACAATAAGGTCGCACGCACCTGGCGGTGGCGGGAGATTCCATAACGCACGACATCATGATGAACAATTGAAATAGGCCCTTTATGATAGGAGAGAGACCTAGCACCTTATTTAAATAGAGACAGAGTGGATGAGTGGATAAAGAACGAGGATTTGGTGCTCTATCATGTCCCCAAGAAGGTTGGGAGTAAGTTTGTATAAAACGTTCAACTAGTGGACTATAACGGCCATAACAGTGCGTTGCCCCGTGACCATCACTCAGGGAGCATAGAGACGTGGATGGCGATAGAAATGTTACAGAAGTGGGCAAAAGTATACATACAAATGGTAATATTAGTGCTGATGGCTGGCTCTCGGAGCGGTTCATCAACTCACCCTCGATGTGCTAGTGACCACTGGGGTAGATATGCCTTTGATAAAGTCTTTAGTCAGAAGAAGTCCTCCATACTTAAACTAGCAAATCACAAATGATATAATCATAGTAGGTGATAGAGAGACAATATCATGCTATTTATTACTAACTAACATAACTTACCTATTGGGCTAAGCCGTATTACCTTTAGTTATCGTACTCGGCTTGTACTATAGCACACTTACCTGTAAAGCAGTAAGACCTTCAAACCACAAACAACTCCGGACCACTTTGATAACTATGGCTTGAGTATAGATAAGCAGACAGAAAACCTTGCTCTCCACGCCCTCTGATCATATATACTAATTTTGATAATTTCACAACATATAGAAGACAAGTAATATATAGAATAGCAAGAAATGACGTTTGAAGAACCATACTGGACAGGATGAACATTTCCAAGATATTGGGATATACCGCGGGCCTATAGACCCCTTAAGCTTTTATTGATAATATCTTCAAAATATTTTCAGCTGTTTTGAAAGCATTAGAAAATCAATGGCGCGGCAAGCTGTGCTAGAAGGACTGTTCTGCGTGCATTAATTTATACATGAACAAGAAGTAACCCAAATTCTACTTATGTTTGAAATGTCAGCTCGGATGTAGAGATATTTGTGTGATATATGCCTAGGGTATCTTTAAATGTCTTACCGAGGCGTGCGTGTTTGTTGAGTAACTGGTATAGCTTGCTTCCGATGCTGCGGGCGATATTAGAGGATTTTCTGAAAGCTAGTACATCATTTATAAGTGGATTGGTAAAACTTGGATGATTATAGCAAGCAGGGGCCACGCTGCTGTGGTATTGGAGAAAGGAGTATCGGAATTTTCTAGTTACCCTTGCTGGAAGACTTTTGATTCTCTTTTCAGTTACAAAGAGAAGGAATGCCTTTCTTGGGACTTCCATGGACGAACATGTTGGGCACTACCAGGTTTACCCAACAGCGGACCGATTACAAGTGTTCAGCCACAAAAGGTCTGGATTGAATTTAATTTAAGCGCTAGGGACAAGGATCGACCGTTAACGAATATTCTAGGTCTCTGTTTAAGTCAAACGTGAGGGCCTCATGGCCCGACGTTGGCCATCGATATATGATATCATGCAAATTAACCACGAATATCTGGAAGTTCTATGAAGCTTCTGCAGAAACTGTCACACTTCACACGTTTTAGATCTACGCGTACATACCGCCCTCGTTTGCATGGAAGTTAGACAGTACCGGATATTCATGGAAGGGTGTATGCGTGTACAGAGATTCTGCTTAACTGCACTGCAACTAGTGGCGAATATATCCAAGTAGCTGATTGGGTTCATGGGAATACAATCGGGTTCGTTATCCTCAAAACTTGGGTACTGTGATGTACCTAGTGGGCCAAAGAGGCACCGTATATAGACAGTGACCAATATTCTACCTCGCCCTAAGTAGGTGTAGCCACTTGACCGGTTCGATAGGCAGAAGGAAGAAAAAATTGCTGCATTGACTTTTTGAGACCCACCTCAACCAGCGATCATCTTGAAAAAAAATTGCAGCCTAATGGTAAACACAGAAAAGGTTCTCAGTTCAAGTGCAACGTCAGTTCACAAAATGTAGTTCGACAACGTCATGGACGTCAAGTTTAAGTTGCCTGAACGGGGTTGGCGTGGAGTAAAAATTGGGGCTAGCCGAGGATAGTTAGCGGGGCACACTGCAACGATGACGTTGAGATCGAGTCGCATGAGTGCAACTGTCGCCTGTCAACGCCTATGATGCACACTCATTATTATATCACTACTACTCTTCCCCGTGAACATGGGTCGCCGGGACTGCCGGAATTTCGCTTTAATACCTAAAGCCCTAGTTGTGTTCTCCCACTTTCATCGTCTTCG